AACCTCCACACCCAGGCTAAATCTTGCCAGATATCCCGGAAAGTTCCCCTGCCCTGTGATCAGTTGGACAGATCCAATGATTCATATCCGACTGTTCTACATAACCTAGAACAGCCGCCCAATCGTACCTCTCTCCCATTCCATTTGCTATTTTCTCCTGATATTCTCTTTTATTCTTTTTCTCTCATCTGTCTTGCTACGTGCCTTTCTTACTTCCCATGTAACCTCTGTTTTATGCATACCTTGGGTGGCTTTCTCATGAGCCTTCGTATTCCCTAAATTGCTTCTATCATGCTCCTTCTTCCACGTCATCTGGGTACGTACTCCCCAATCACTCAATATTCCGCTGAATCATTGCTACCCTTTTATTCCTCACTCTTCCTGCCTTCACTCTTTCTACAGTAATAGCAGAGGCATTGATACTTTCACGCTCTCATCCATGCTCCACATGCTGATGTGGAGCATGGATCGCAACCCTGCCTCGTTCACGCTACTTCGTCCTGTGATTCATTCATTCTCCCCCCTTTTATAAGCCGCCCAGCCTATCCACATTCTTTCGTCCTCATTCCTCTCTCCGGCATCTACATATACTTCAATCACTCCTCCGTCCTCCATCTCCTCCAGCAACTCCTCTTGCAGCCAGGGGAATATCCTATCTACTCCTTTCACCCTGTCCTCAGTCTTTGTTGTCTTGTTCACTCTCAATTCTTGATATCTGGCCCATCCTTCTATCTGCAATGGCGCCATTCCAGTGATGAAACTGAGCGCAGCCATTGGCGTCGTCGTGTAAGCCCCACACGAGGACAACAGAAAGGGCCTCCGAACTGCACTTAGCTGTCTTCTCACCCTGGTATCATGCATTCTATTCCCTCACACCTGTATTCCATACAAAGCCGCAGGTTTGGCTACCCTTTCATATTTCACTCTCACACATTCTCTCTTTAGTCCAACGTTCCTCCGGATCCACCTCTGCCAGCTCACTCAGCTTTTTCCTCACTTCTTTGTGGTGGTTTATGAACAATAATCCTGAGTCCACTATGATTCCGAGGTACCTAACGCTCGTTTTTCATTTCCATACTTATTTCTAGGACCGGGGGTCTTTCATCCTTCCTAGGTTGTACATACACTCTGTCTTCCTTTCGTTGTAACTCAGCCACATCTCTTCATCCCAAGCCTTACATTCATTTCATACTAACTTCTATCTGTCCTCTATGCTTTCGACGGAGTTACCTTCGATGATGACACGCTGGTCATCCGCGTAGGCCTGAACTTGCACTCCAGTTGCCCCAGTGTCTTGCCTTACTTTCATACTGTTGATTCACTCGAACCATGCTTCCATCACTATCAACCATAATGTCGGTCCCTCGTGGACAGACTCTGTTAAACGTTTCAGAGACTTTACATTTTTCTGCATTCCCTTTCTTCTCAGACTCACCTCAATTGCCGGTGCCTACGCGGTATTGAAGGCGTTTGACAAGTCCAACGCAACTACCAGACTATGTCTCTTTTCTCTCTTATTTTCTCTTATCCTATTCAGCATTCTCTTTACTGCCATAACAGTATTCATCCTCCCTCTAAAACCAAATTGGTTTGATGAGAATTTCAACTTTATTTCGCACCAGATTTGCATCCTACCGTTGAGAAGCCTGTCTAACATTCTTCCCATGCCTGTCAACAAACTGATTGGTCTAGGATTTCCGTTTTTCTTTGGTATTCAGACAACCTTCGTGCGCTTCCATATGCCCGGTAAAAAGCCCTCTTCTCAGACAGGCGTCGAAGAGTTCCATCATACCGTCGCCTTTTCATTCTATCACCTCACGAATAATTTCGTGACTTTCCGTCTCGAAGCTGCTCTGCTACCGCTCATAGCTCCCCCATCGAAAAGCCAGGCTAGTCTTCTCCCCATGCTTCGTGCTCTCTGTCCCTCCACCAACGGGAAATACTTGCTCAGCAGATGCTTACTGGTCTCTTCCTTTCCCTCGGTGAGGGTATCATCCTCTTTCAAGACATTCGACGGCATCATCTCCGGTCTATCGTTGTTGAGGAGTCGATAGGCTGGATTCCACGGATTTTCATCCTGGATCCGCTACACTCGCTTCCTCAATCATGTAACTTTTGCATTCCCAGTCATCCTATTATACCGATTCCTTTCCCTCCTGTACTCATTCATCCTTCTCCTCCTTCCTTCTCCTTCTCTCGTGTCTTGAGCGTCTCTCCTTTTCTTTATTACCTGTCTTCGTAGGCTTTTCAGGTCTACGTTCCACCATTCTCTACTTCAACCCCTTCACTTCTTATTATGAACTTCATGCATGCTTCTCTCAGTTTTTCTTGAAGCAACGTCGCTTCCCTCTTGATCTCCTCTTTTGTACTCAACCTCCCTGGGTGGTACTCGGACATCATACGCTCGAGCCCATCCCAGTTGGTTCCTCTGACATTCGTTACTACCGCCATTCTCATCTTTGATAACCCTATCAAGCAAAGCTCAATCATTCTGTGATCACTCATTGTTTTCTTCATGCACACCTTCCACTCATTCACCTGCACGTTTTCACTAATGGTCAAGTCGACCCAACTTTCACCCCTGTTGCTGGAGAAAGTGGCTGGACTCTCTCAGTCATTCTCTATCATATACCCTCTCTCCATTACCCACTCTAGAACATCTTCTCCCCTTTCATCCGTGGTGTTGCCACCCCATGCTACTTTCTTCGCATTCATCTCTAACCAGGATTTTTCTTCCTTCCCATCCATCAAAGATTCTTTGAATTGTATCCAATCTCGCGTTCCTGTTCCCCCTGGCTCGTCATACACATTCATGATTCTTACATTACTTCTTTCGTTTCCTACAATTATTCCTATCCCATTCTCACTCCTTGTATTCCTAAGGGCGGGGCAGTCTATGGTGGATCGGACCCAGGTTCGAACCTTGGCCTCTTCTCCACCATCCTGCCTAACCCACCCCTCCCAGGCAGGTTCTCTGGACCACGCTTCCTGAATACACACTACTGCGGCGCCTCGCTCTTCAGCAACCCTCCGCAGCAGTGTGGTGGCTTCTTTTCCGTTTCCCACGTTAATTTGGAGAACCTTGAATGTAAACTGGACATATGGGATCAAGCGCCGAATGTCTCCTTTCATTCGCAGCCACACCGACTCGTTTGCAGTTCATGCAACTGAGTCCCCTATCACCTCTGCATTCACTTAAAGCACACCGCCACACTGTTATGTTTCTTTACGTACACACTAGCTTGTTCTAATTCAACCACTCCTAAGTTTATCATTTTCCAGAAAAGCTCGGCATTCAGTTCCATGATGATATTATCTTTCCATTCACTCCTGCAGTTTTCCTTTTTCTCACTGACATGCTTTCCATCTCCCCCGGAGTCAGACCTTCACTTAGCTCTCGATTTCGGTCCAATATAAGTTGCTCAATATAAGCTCCTCATCCCCATATCACTTTTCCACTCCAGTAACCGGGACATGGGGATTCGGTTTCTGATCCGCCTCAATACTAACCCTGCACTCATCCTGGAGTACGTCCCTTTTTCGACAATATCCTCAATCATGGCCGTCCACGAATCTGCCTCCAAGTGTGCTTCCCTTCCCATTGCAAAATTTCCCAATACATTATCTTCCTGCTGTTCTTCTCTATGTTCATTGCTTTCCTCACTGTCCCTCAGCGTTCTATTTGAATCCTCACGAAGTTGTTCGATCGTTTCATTGGATTTATTAAGTATATCCTTAACTGTTCCCTCCATCGCAGCTTTGGCTTCCTGTATCACTGAATCGATAATTTTTTTCTTTTTTCCGGCGGCGTCCTGTTTAGTGATTCCCTGGGTTTAAAAATATCGTCTGTCTCCTTGTCACCCATGCCCTTTCTCTTTTAATCCATGGCTTACTCCACAGCAATTTTCATGCGAAAATTTCTTGAAGTTTCATAAAAATTCCAAATCCGATGAAAACTGAGCCTTAGGTCCAACAAAATGGCGAAGGTTCTTTGGCGAAGGTTTTTATCTCTTATAGCCTTTCGGCCGATAAGACTGGAAAAACGTGAATTTTATCGAGTTTCGACTATTTTAAATGAGCTATTTATTTGATGAATATTTTGACACGTTCAGACAGACAAATACATAAAAAGGAATTTGTATCAGTATATGTAATTACTTCAATATTATATTCACATATCTTCTATTTTAATCGATTCCGCTTTCAAGCTACTAGTATATATCGGGAGTTGTTGGAACCTACTGCAATTTTAAGACTAATATTAAATGTATGTTATCAAGCCTCTTAAGCTTGTTTGGACGGAATAAATTAATGAATAACTAAATATGATTTACACTTGTAATTTACACATTTACACATATGTGTAAATGAACATTATCTTCATCATCAGCATCCATTTGTTGTCAACTTTTCAAGAAAGCCGTTCAACAGAATTGTCAAGTCAGAAAACTCGTCGCTATAACTCAAATCACATATCACAACATAAAACGTCATGATTCGTTTTAAGATCAGTTACCCACGAAGAAAAAACAATTGTAATATGTTTTCAAAATATGATATGAGATTTTTAAAACATATCGAAAAAATATATAAACATATAAAAAAAATTGCACATTTTTCGTGGAAATGAATTTTTTGTTTTTAAATACCTGCTTCTCGAAATGTATCTACACAAAGAATTTCAAGTATCAGTTTTTATGATTGAAATATCCAACAAACAGGACTATATGCATTCTGCAAGAAATTTGTGAATTCATTATTATAATTGAATGCACCCGTTGTCAACACAATTTATTGTAAATTCATTTTTCAAATAAAATACAATTTCCATCAAAATAAATTAACCAAGATCGTTATCTTTCAACTTTTGCTATTGTCAATATTGACCACTATCACTGTGTGTATATTATTTTCGAAATATTCTGTTGATACTGTTTCAATTTCTGATGGTGAAAAACGTTTCTTTTTCAGGTGTTGAGTACTTTGAGATATGGCTTCAGAAATATCAACAACGTTAGATTTGGAAGTTGACAAAACTACAGCAGTTCCTGCGAGGACATTGAATTTCTCTATTGCTAAAATAATGGAACCAGATACGAAGCTGAAAGAAAAGGAAATTGACAAGAATGACGAAACGATGGAGTTTTATCATCCAAGTTCTTTTGAATCGGCCTTCAAGAAATATGTACCCAATGTTCTCAGATCACCTGAACTATTGAATAACTTTCCTCTCATCTATTATCATCCGAATCAATTCATGCTGGGTTCAGTTTCAGTGTACACATCTCATCCTGAGGAAAATTCCGCTGAGATAGGAACCAACAATCCTGGGGTCAGTGTTCTACCTATACACCTGAATTCGATTAAATCTAGTCAAACTAGGCTGAATCAAAAAACTAGTATAATAGCTGAACCTACCACTACATCAAACATTTTAACACCTAAACAGAAGAGTTTCGAATGTGGAGAATGTGGTAAAGTTTTTAATGCTCACTATAACCTCACTAGGCATATGCCTGTTCACACAGGTGCACGACCATTCGTTTGCAAGATTTGTGGAAAAGGTTTCAGGCAAGCATCAACCCTGTGTAGGCATAAAATCATACATACTTCCGAAAAACCACACAAATGCCATACTTGTGGCAAAGCATTCAACAGATCTTCAACGCTCAATACCCATGCTCGTATACATGCTGGATATAAACCATTTGTATGCGAATTCTGTGGTAAAGGTTTTCACCAGAAAGGTAATTATAAGAATCACCGCTTGACACACAGCGGTGAAAAGGCTTATAAGTGTTCAGTTTGTTCGAAAGCCTTTCACCAAGTTTATAATCTTACTTTCCATATGCACACTCACAATGATAAAAAACCTTTCACTTGTCGAGTCTGTGGTAAAGGATTCTGCAGAAACTTTGATTTGAAGAAACATATGAGAAAACTGCATGAAAATAATGGAAACTGTTTTGACTATATCTCCAGTTCTCCGCAAGTAACTTCTACGTCCCCGTTTTCTCCTGAAAGAAATGTTCAACATTTTGTTAGTCCATTCATTCGACCACCTATGACAGTTCCTATTTATTCATCAAAACTATTATGACCTACATACTAGTATCTCAGAATGAGTCGCCGAGGTAGAACACATCCAATTCACCTGGACAAAATATTGAAGAATTCGTTACCCTCAAGATTTTTTCTAATCACCGAGAGCTTTTTGATCTATTCATTGATGTGCAATAAGTTTGCAGTAATTTTTCAAATCTGCAATACTATATAATATTACTCAGATATATGGTCTGAAACATGTAAATCTATAAGTGTATTATTAATAATATTATTATTGTTCAACTTCTTATTTTCGTGCCCCTACGGAAACATTGTTACGACTTTTACTTCCTCTAAATGATCAAGTGTATACATGTATACATGATTAATAATATTATTATTGTGTTCAAATGAGTGTTATTTATTGAAGATTTGTTTTATTTTGGCATTATATCCTACTCAAAAGTCTCCAACATAGTTACTTCCAACTGTGAGATTCATATTAAGAGAAAAAATTTAGAATCGATAGAATGTAAACAAAATGAATTGAAAACTACTTCAGTAAAGTTAGATGGGAACGGCCATTTTTTAATGTCTAAAATTTTTAAGTTTTGCCAGCGGCGTCCGTACAGCGATGTGGATTACTTATTTTTGAAAAATATTTTGTATCACTCTGCTTTACTCAAAAATTAAATCTCCATTCATCAGGGGACAAAATTGATCCTTCGACTTTTTTCCATTGGCATGAGATTTTCGTGTAAAAAAATAAAAACGAGTTCTATGGATGGTTAATTTATCAAATAATACCTATTTGATATTATTTTATAAATCACAATTCATTGTTTTAGTAAAAATGACCTCTTGGTAATCTTTCATATGAAATAATACACAATATGATTATGACTTCTGAAAAAGAAAGCTATGGCGGAAACAAAATAATTGATGCCAAACAGTTTTGACAGAAATTCATTTAAGTACAGTGCTCTTAGCTCAATTCAGTCGTTTGAACGTATAATTATCATAGTTGATTTCACAAATGTTTAGTTTGCAGATAATGCTGCATTATCTGTACGGTCTTGTTGATGGCAATTCATTTGAAGCCAGAAGATTATACAGAGGTTATGCAAACAGAATAATTCTGCGTGAACGTAAGATTTCAGGAACTCACAGAAAGTTATTTGAAACGGAATCTTTTAAACGAGAAATAATAATAATAACAATAATAATAATAATAGTGATAATAATAAAAAATGCTTTTATTGAAAAGTTACTCAGTACAAGAGATACTAACCTAACCTATCAGATGGCAGAATTCAACATCTGCACATGATAAATAAAGGCAGAACTTGCTCTTTCGTCCATCCGGCAACAGCTAACTCATTTTGTAATCAAACTTGATGAAAGAAAAAAAGAGAAAAGGAAAAAAGCAAAAAAGCGAAGCAAAAAATGATTAAAAGAGAATTTGATATTTTAAATGTGAAAAGTCATGTCATAAACATGAAGGAAATTTGACATAATAGCTTAACAATAATTTTGATATTTTCTATATATTTATGGTAAATAATTTACGTATAGATATCAACTGATCAGTATTATAAAAGAAGAGAACCGGATTGAAGCGTATATCTCTTCAGATTTTTTTGATACTAAGTGGTGGTAGTGATTTCAATTCGATGGGTAACCGATTATATAAGCATGCAATGTTATAAGGAAAGGAGCCTTAAAAAAGAGAGGTTTTATGTTCAGGTGCAGTCAAAAAAAGTGCCCGTAAAAGGGGCACCCCCACACCATGCGAACACAGAAAACCAAAGAAGCTTTTTTAAATTTAGTTGGAGAAAACCCTGAAATGGGAACCGGAAAAATTTGAAATGATTCAAATATTTTTCATGTTCGAGTATTTGAGAATTCCTCATGATTTGCTACATCCTCATCATATTGAACTGATTCAGACCCTTTTTCTTGAGATTTTCCATTACGAATAAATTTCTGTCATTGGTTTTTTCGATTGGTTATCGAAAAATATCCATTTCGAGGTCAAAATTTCATTAACAAACGACGCTAATTTGTCCAGGAATGCCATAATGAGTTTCCACAAAAAGCATTTCTGGGATAAAAAACCGTATGACATCACGGAATTCCACCACCAACAGCAATTTTCTGTGAATTCATGTCCTGGAATGATCGGTAAAGGTATTCAATTGGGCTCTATTTTCTGCTATGAGGATTGAATAGATAAAATCGTCGATAGTTTCTTGAACAGACTTTACCAAATTTGATATAGGAAATGCCTATTTCAACCCCCGACATCGTATGTGGTTTAAGTACGATGGTGCATTCCAGTTATGGAAATTCTTGAATCAACAGTACAATAATCGTGCGATAGGGCGCGCAAGATCTCAATCGTGGTCTCCTAGACTCCATATCTAACAGTCAGGGTTTTTTCTTCCAGGTAAAATTTGGGATGATGGCTTATAGCACTCGAATACATTCTGAAGAAGAGTTTAGGAATGACATAATAGCTTGCTATCAGAAATACAGGAATTCTTCAAACGGTACGAGACTCAGTGAGAAGAGCAAAAGCATGCATAATAGTAGATGACGGGGACTTTCAACAACAACTGTGAAATTATCTCAATTTTCGACCACGTTATTCAGTTTTTCAAACTAACTGGTGAAATAATATACATATGTCTGTCAAATTATTGAATTTATTTTTCATCAATGCATGGTCATATAACAATTTGATCATGCATCCGCCATTTGCAGTCGGGAGGTAACTTCTCGGCGGGATCCGTTCCGGAGAATGGCATTTGGTGAAGGGTCAGCGCCAGAGTTGAAACCCTAAACCATGTCCTAGACCTTGGGCAAGTCTTGGACCAAGTCTAAGTATGGCGACGCTAAGTCATATTTCTATCAATGATAAATGGATCGTGAAATGAACAAATAGGAGATACTGAATTCATTGGAAAAGAAAAAAACATGTCGGCATTCCAAAAAGGCACTGATTCAGTTCTTCGTTAATAATAGTCGGATTCTGACATGCAGCAAATTGAATTGTAGGGGATACTGAATTGGCATAAGAAAAACAAAGATGATGGCGTGCCCAAACAGCAGTAGGCGTGCGCGCGATACAAGAATTCCGAAATGTATATAAGGGGCATATGTGAAGTTACAGAGTTATGTTGTCATATATTTACGTTTTAGGGTCATATATTTACGTTTTAGGGTCATATATTTACGTTTTAGGGTCATAAACAGTATCGGAAAAGTTAGCATGTGATAGGACTAATGCATCAAATATTATTTTTTTATACTGTTGGCTTAAAATATGTCGGTTCGGATAAATTGATATTGGGTTAGAGTACCCATGTTTCATGATTTGGCTGACATGAAAAAAAAATTAAAGATTGATCTAGATCGAACCAAGGTTTTTGAAACGTTTTGTCAGGCACAAATTTTGTTTATTCAGCTGGAAAATAATACTATTTTCAAATATGTTCCTCATATCTGCATGCTCGATTAATAAGCATTATACCTTTTTTCGAAGGATGGACAGTAAAACAATATTCATTTGAGTTTGTGAGGACGAAGCTCATTAAAATATGCTCTATATATGGAAGTATGTATAAACAAGAATGTGAGAGCAATTTAATACTGATACGTCTGGATCAACTGCGTTAAATCTTATCGGGAGCATAATTTTCGAAAAAACTTTTTCAGTGGTAGTAGAAAAATGATAAGAGATCATTATCGAGCAACTCACTAGCAGCACTTTCATTACAAAAAAAGTCATTTATTGGGCATACTAAGATGTTTGAGTATTTGTTTTTCAGTTTTTTACCATGCAGATCGAGATTAGAGAGTTTTCACCAGAGGTTTTTACAGTTGCTCAGACGGAACTTCAAGTGAGCTTCCCTTTATAGTTCTATTGAACGATTGGTTACATGCATACTCCTATTTGTATCGAAAATGGCAAATACATCATCCACGTATCAGATCCAAGTTCGTAGAAAGTTATCCAACTCTTCCCTTTCTTCCATTTCTTATCTGCTCATGAACAAATTAGCCATGAAAGGAGACAACAGGTTTCCTATTGTCGTACCCTCATGTTACCCATAAAAACAGTTGGTGAACTGGAAGCAATTTTGTTCCATGCAAATTTTGGTAAGCCGGATATACTCTTCTACCAATTCCCCACTCATTTCATTAATATCTGAAATATCCTTCCAATATTCAATTGTTTTTGGTATGTTTACACTTCGAAATAACGAATATATACGTCAAAGAATACTAAGATATCTCCTTCTCGCAACCTTACATCTTTGATCTTCTCGATGAATACTTGTGTCACCAAATATTGAAATTTCGGCACTAGGATGATTGATTTGCAGAAAGTCAATGGTGTCTGCAAGTGAAGAAAATGATGCCCTATATTGTACATCGCTACGTGGTCGATGAACGCAGCATATGAATTTGGTGATCTTCTGTGACATTATTTTGAACCACAAAATATCAAAGTTTCGGGGTTCCAGAATTTCTTCCCATTGACAGGAGATATCGCTTCTGATGGAAAGAGATATTCCAAAGTTACATCTGAATCGAGAGTGGAAAATATAGAAAATTGACTGGGTTGCTGAAGCACTGACTTTGGTTTCTGTGAGTGCAATAATATGTCAACTATTTGATTGCAGATGTTAGTGAACTGAGTTCATATTTGAGTTGAGCCCTCTGATGTTGCTAGTGGGACTCTTAGCAACTGCAGTTTCCATGCTATTTTCCTGTGGACTGATGTTAGGAAGACCCTGCTGACTGTCAGAAATAGCGGTTTTCGAATAACTTTTGCAGGATGATGCACTTGAATCAGCCCACACCCGGAGATCCGATTGGAAAGCTATTTTGCCTCCGGAGTGTTTTGACCCTAGGATCACCATCATGTATTTTTCCTCATATTTCCACCCTTGAAACAGCGGCACAGGAACGAAACGTTAGCCCGAAAGCAACTTCACGCTGCCTAAGCCGTTGCGATGGTATCTCACCGGGCGATGTCGGGTGGAACCAGCATTTACCATCTACACTTTCTTGTCCAAAGAATGCTCGAATTCTCTTGAGCAAAGAAAGGTATGAGATTGAGAGAAAAAGTTGTTAGGGAGGTGGCTGA